TTCCTTTCAAAATATTCACCATCATTGATCTACAGGGGTTATAATAAACCAGATCTTTCAGGGAAGTATAAGATATTATTTTTTGATTACTGCTGGGAAAAGTCTAAATGTGTCCTTAACCCAGATTCTATTTGCACAAAAACATTAACTTCTTCTCATGGTGTTTTGCAAACAGGAAGTACAGGGCCTGTTTATGGTTTTGCTGTGTATTTTAAAGTCATTATTGCCATCATAGAAGAAGCCAAAGACCTGATAAGGACCCCTTTATGCTACCATGTTTGGTCAAATAATGGCACTATGTATACTACATGTGAACATTACAAACTTATTTTTAGATGACCAGTGAGATTTATGTAGTTTAAAATTATTCAGGCATCAGGACTATACTCTATTTTTAAAGGACAGAGCACAGCTGCTGTATGAGTAAATACAAACCAGAAAAACCAAATTTTATAAATATGTCATCAAGGTCATAAAAACAAATGTACTGGATAAGAAACATTATTCTGATTTCAGTATGGGTGTCAACAAGTTCACTGCCTGCTCTGTATTCAGATTGGTACTGATAGGAAAAGAAAGATATTTGGCAGCAATATTAGTTGTTTGCAGTTTTGTTTGGCAGAGTGAGAACAGGAAAGCAGGAATAAAGAAAGGAGCAGCGGCAAGGACTGGCCCAGAACAGTGCCAGACACTTGTAGGAGAGTTATGTGGTGCTGGGAGGTCTAGCAGAGGAGACTGGTCTGGTTCTGTATCTCTGATGAATGCAGAGCTGGTAACATATCATAGAACCACAGAATCAATTAGGCTGGAAAAACCTTTAAGAAAGAGTCCAGCCTATGACCCAACATTGATCAGAGCATGACACTGAGTGCCATATCCAGTCTTTCCTTAAATACTTGCAAGGATGATGACTCCACTGCCTCCTTGGGCAGCCCACTCCAGTGTATAGTTATCCTTTCTGAAGAATTCCCTCCGAACATCCAACCTAAACCTTCCCTGGCACAACTTAAGACTGTGTCCTTTCCTCCTGTCACTGACTGTCCAGGAGAAGAGCCTGACCCCCACCTTTCTACAGCCTTCTTCCAGAGGTTGCAGAGAGCAGTAACATCACCCCTGAGCCTCCTTTCCTCCAGGCTAACAAACCCCAGCTCCCTCCGTTGCTCCTCACATGACTTGTGCTCCAGACCTCTCACCAGCTTCTTTGTCCTGTCTGGTTTTGCTCCAGCACCTTGATGTCTTCTTATGTTGAGGTCCCCAGAAGCGGACCCAGGATTTGAGATATATCACCTGAGTCACAGAGTCATGAAGTAGTGAACAAGAAATTACATGAGTTTTAATTATCTCTTCTGGGGTATGGAAAGGGCAAAAAGAAATAGGCTTTTAAAAGACATTCCACAAGAAGTCATTTTCATTCTTGTTCTCTCTGAAATGTAAGAGTTGTTAGTTGTGAGTAAGAGAATTTGTTTCTTGGAAATTACTTCTTGAATTTCAGCCCTGAGATTAGTGAAGTTATTGGAGGGGAAAGGGGGGCACATGCAGAGGCACAACTCTAGAGTAATTCAGTTTGGAGCTTTTTAGAGGAACAAATGAGATCTTGCTGAAACATTAACCTGAAACTTAGCCAAGCTACTAAAAGGAATGAAACAGGTGATAATCTGAAATGCAGTATAGGAAAAATGTCAAAAGTAATAGGATGTTGAAATAGAATTGAGAAAAGCAGGACTGTTTTTCTGACATAAAGTTATCACTCTCAAAGGTAATTTCCATGATAAACCTACATCTAGCCAAAAGAAATCCATCCCAAAGCAGACCATAAACTGCCAGAAGAACACTGATGCCCAAAAAAAGGACTTATTTTCTCAGAAGCATTGGATGCTGAGGTATTTCTATCCACATTTTTTCTTGTATTAAAACCATGAGTACTGCTTTTCAGGTTGAGAGGAGGAATGAAGTGCTCTTTAAAAAAATAAGTAAACCATTTTTCACTTCCAAACTGCAGATTCTCATGTAGCCCATGAAGCTGGCATTGAACAAATATCTTCTGACTGATGACCACTCATAGCCAAGCTCATTGTGCTTCTCTGCTTCAGAAATTACTTGTGAGATCTACAGACAGTTTTAGTGAGTGAATCTAGGCCAAACCAAATCAGAGGAAGGAAACCACAGGCAGGCTTGAGTTCTTGGGAAATGGCTCAGACAGAGGAGAAATCTCATATGTACAGCATAAGAGAGAGTGTGTTGCTCTTCAGGTCTAACGCGGTGGTATTTTTCATAGACTCTAATGTCATTGCTATGAAAGAGTTTTCGATACTAAGTGATTCTTTTGGTGTTCCCTGAGTGTCTTAGTATCTTTTATCTGTCTCTTGGGAATAATATATTTTTAATAAACATACTTTCCTACAAGCAACATCAGTAGCTGCACTTGTAATGCAAAGCAAAAACCGGTTTTAATTAAGAACCCAATTCCTCCATGCCTTTATTTGACAGTAGTGGTTGCACTTGCAGTTGTCATGCTCATTACTAATCTGCAAAATGAGAACTCACAAGATAAATGAGAGTAAAATACTCACAGGGTACACGTAATTAGCACATGACTTATCATAAATTGTGATGATCTCCTTGATAATTAATCTGGCTTGCATTTGATGTTTGGAGGCAGTCTAGATAGAAGATACTTCAATAAGTAAGGATAAATTCCTCTGGGGCATGGGAAAACACAGTGAGAAGTGGGGAAGAAAAAATTCACAGGTCTAAAAGAAATGTTATTTCTTAGTTGCAAACTAAGCCCCTAGCTAAGGCTAGAATTTCTTCTAAGGGCTGGAATTTTTTATCTCAGGTTTACACAGAAATGGCAGTAATGAGCATCTTGGCTCATTAAGGATCCAAAAGATGCACAAAAGAGCAGTTCTGGTGGATTGATTTGCCTTCAGAAGAAAATGGTTGCACAGGGACAGGGGGCACTTGCTATGAGAAGGAATGAAAGTGCCATGCCACAGTAAGGGTTTGGATCTTGTTTCCAAGGGTCACAGTAGGAACAGAACCTAGACCCAGGTGTGTGTGGATTTAGACATGCTATAGAAAGGGACCTCAGGGAGTCAGAGCAGTGGGAGGCCTGGAATCACCTGTTTGTACACAGGCAAAAGAAAGCATTGAGAGCAAAGCTAATTATTAACATACCTCCATGGCCCCAAGCCTGAACTTTTATGACAGCCCTGAGTGTCTCCCAAGAAGAGAGGAAGGCTCCTTTTTTTATTTCCAAATTCCTACCTTGTGTCACTAGCAAATATCCAAACCTTATCCAATACTGCAGTAAAGCTCTCAGGATCTCTGTTTTGTGATATTCATCAGTTATTCCAGTTCAATTTACTCTGTACAATACATTTTTAACATGTAGTTTGCAGTGCAATGCCGAGACAGGAGAAGCCAGCCTACATTTTTCTTTTTCCTCAGGGAATAGATTAACATTTCTCTCTGTAATGGCTTATTTACTGTAATTGCTGTGTAAACGTGTGGCCAGTAATGAAGGGCTTATCTCAGGCTCCCTTGTAGAAAAGTAGACTTCTAATGCCCTATTTCTCCCCTTTTACAGTCATAGAGACAAAAAGCCATCTTCTTCAGTATTTCACTGGTAAATTTGCAGTCTGCCTCAGTTTGTTACTTATCAGTGTGCTAACAACACATCATAACTTCCATTGAAGCTGCACAGAAAAATGAATGCAAGAGGTTGCACATTGTTGCACTAATGAGGCTTTTACACCTGGGGAGAGAAAAATGCTCAAATTTGATTAAAATTCTATTAACTGTTATTGCCACATCAAACTGTTGAGAACTTCAGACACATCCACAGCACATTAAGTTGCCAAAGCTTGGCACAGTCACACAGCTAAAAAAATGCTAATGCTTTATCTGCACCTCATGTGGCGTAAGTCAGGGTGACAGAACACCTCTGCTTACTTGAAATTTTTGTTTTACCTCTTTGTAAAGAAGCAGGGAGGACCTTCTGGCTTGATGTCAGACTTGAGGTCGTGTCTGTATCTGACTGCTGCAAAAGCACCTGATGGATCTGTTGGTCAGCCAATAGATGAATTCAATAAAGCATAAATGAGCTCACACAACAAAATATTGTTCTGCCTCTTGTTCATGTGTTTAATATACTCATATTGGAGAGACTTCTCTTTAGTCCTGCTAGGGAAAAACAACTTTCAGGGCAGCAGAGGTTTGGCAGCGAGTACAGTATTTAAATTATTATGCTCCAGCCCTGAAAAGATGACAGCTTAGCACACAAAGCAGCCAAGGAGAGCCAGGAGGATCCATTTCCCTGCTCCTCCACACAAAGCCTCTTGTTCCTCACTTGGGAAGTCATGCAGCTCTCCACACTTGGAGTCATTACATGAGTGGAGTACAGCAGCTCAGAGAGACTTGCAGAAGTATCAAATAGGGACCTCATTAACAAGCATCAGTGTTAAAAGGAATTCCTGAAATGAGCCATAAGACAGGCTTGGGGTTTCTTCTCCTGGGCCTTTACCATCAGGCTGGTAACCTGATGCTTAATGGTAGAAGTACAGATTTATTTTTCTTTAAGTTTATACCAACTGTTTCACTCTGCAAGGAAAATCCATTGGAACTGTTGGTGTTAATGAAAATCACAGAAAGATGAGAGGTAGATTTGGCTTTTTACCAATTAGTTAACAAACTTTTTCTTTAAAATTTATCATTTATACTCCACCTTTGGTTGCAACTGGACATTTCACTGTTTTGCCTTATTGCTTTCCTTTTTACTTTCCTCAAGCAGTAAAAAGGAGCAGAATGCATGGTTGAGAGAGAATTGTGGTTCCTTGGAACCATTTGTAACTTCAAAAATTTAAGTTAACTTTGAAAATCCAGGCTTATGGTGCAAATTAGTAGTTCTGATGTTTGAAACAGTACAAAGACTTTGCAAATGTACAGAGCAACAGAAGGGTTAGAAAACCTGAAGGGGGAGAAGATGAGCCACAGACAAATCACAGGGAAAGTAATTTATTCAATTTCATCATCTAAAATAATTTTCTTTTTAGTATTTTAAACAAAGTGAGCATTTCTTCCATCTCTTCTACCCTGACTCTGCTGAGTCCACTTTTGTTTTTTAAAGTTGGTTATAGATTATGGATTGAGCTCAACATTACTTCTCAGTATTAATACCTTCCTTTGTTAAAAGCTGATAATCCAGAAGCAATTCCAACCAGCATCAAATATTGTATTGAAGAAATTGTACTTCTGTTCCCCGGGGATAACCAATGGAGCTGTGTTCTCACACATTTCTCTTTACAGCTGAAAGGGACATGAAAAGCCAGGTTTGATAAAGAGCTTTATTGTATACTCCATAGTAGTTCATCTTGGTAGCTGAAAATGCCAGGACACTGTATAAATCATTTTATGGTACCAGTTACTTTATCCTTCAAAGGGTACTCACATCAAATTCTGTCTTGGTTTGTGTCTAGCACTGCAGAAAACACTTCTCCCCAGGTGATATGAGAACAGATCAGAGCAATGGTAAGGCTGCACTTACTGTTAATTCATTACAGCACATGCAGGACATGAGCCTGGGCAGAGTGAGAGGTGCTGCCTCGGGGACAGCTTTGTAAGAACAGAAGGCTCATGGTTCAGCAGTCAGAGTAGCACAGGAGTGGAAGCTGGGGACAGACAGCAAGCGGATATTATTGCTCCATATGCTCCTCTCCTGCATCTGACCTGCTCTGGACACTGCCACCCTGCACTCTGTCACAGGGGCCATGGCCAACCCATGAGACTTCTCTAGGAGCTCAAGTCCTCATACAGCAAACTAGAAACCACCTGCTACAAATTTGCTGTTATTATTACCAATTATCATTACCAGTTACCATAAGGTTAAAGCAATTTTATATTAATGATCAGGTAAGAAAATAGGGAAAACATTTTGGAAGAGTCCTTCCTCTGGCATTCAACTCATCTGCAGTTACCTCTGTGCAATTGCTCTAAAATCTTTTGTGAAACTTATTCTCTGAATTTTGTTAAGTTAAGCAGATTCCCTCCTTACTAAAATGTTGTTAGGGATCTTTCAGGAGAAGATTTAAATTCTGAGTCAGAAATTGAATCATAGGAAAATATTTTTCTCATTCTTTGCATGTGATCATCACGTTCATCAGCTTCATATTGTCACATAGAAAGTCATCATGTCTCATCTGTATTTACTCATTTTCACTAGGCTTATAAATATGATATTTTTAATCCATAATTTCAGGTGCCTACACTCTCTGGCAAAAGTATCTCAAATTCTCATGATTCCCAAATCATGTTTGGATATCGCAGTACAGCAGGTAACTGCAAAACCAAACACCCATGATTCCCTGTGCAATAATATATAAAATTCTTTGCCTTCTCTACACTTAAATTCTTAGCATGGAAATTAGCACCAAGAAATACCTTTTCTTTCTCGTGGTAGAGAAGTTAGCTCACTTCAAAAAAGCTCCTGTAGTAGATTCCATGACCTGTCAGATTCTTTTCATTACAACACTTCTCACTTAAGAAAAAAATTTTGTTTGCTCATTTCAAGTGGCAAAGCAGATCATGTCCAGTGGCTGTGGAAAATAGTCATGATGGACTAGGACAGTGTGTGGGGACTGTGTTCTGTGTTTCAGAACAAATGTTCTCTCTCCATTCCTGCCCTGCTCCTCAGCCAGCCTATTCACGTCTCTGCTATCAATGGCTGCCCAAGCCAGAATCTCTCATTTACCGTAGCAAATGAGCCAATAAATCTAACATGTCATAATCCCAAAGCCAAGCAAAAACCATGCAGCTGAATTTTCCGCCAGAGTACGTCTGCATAGCCAGGGTAAACTCTCTGTTCAGTTTTAATTAGGATCAGCTGAGGACATGACCATCTTATTCTAGTTTGTAATGCCTAATTTGTATAGTGGAATTTCCATGGATTTAATTCATGCATGTTGATAGTTTAGAAGAGTTGGTCATAAAGTATGTCGAAACTGGGATCTCTTTACAAAGACACTCTCTTTTCTTCTATCTATGAATATCAAATGGGAGCCTGTGTGTCTCCTGTTTTGATGTATCCTGGAGACAAATCTAAGGACCATTTCCAAGCCTGGGACAATCCCCTCTTCAGCCTGGACCAGATTTAAGTTAACTGAGGAGGAGAAAGAAGAGAGTATCTGTCTTGATAATTAACTTTCTTGCTTTGGGTAAGCAGGGAAATATATTTTTTTAGATAAGCGCAGATCTAACCGCCACACCCTTGGCCAATGTGTTGTCCCAGTGATCTGGAAATAGTGTCCCAAGCCATCCGTCACCCTCTGCCTGCATCTCTGCCTGGGGGCAAGAGAAGCACAGAACCAGACATCACAGCTGGGCAAAGGACTCCACAGACTCTTTCTGCCTATTTATAATCAAAATCTAATTGATACAGCCAGGAGATTCTTGGACTGAATATGATAAAGATTGTAATACTTACCCAGAGCAGGGGGGAATAATTTCCTTCAAAGACTTCCTCTGTTTAAGGTCGCAGAATCATGATCCTGTCCTTCTTCCTATGATTCAGATACTGAAAGCTTTTTCCATCCTGCATCTACATTGTCAGCATATCCAAATATGCTGGTAATTTCTTCCCAAGACTTTGCTATAGCAGTTTCTTGCCTTCATGCCAGCTACTATATGCAATCAAGCTGCATTGAGAATGAAAGGTATTTTTAAAGATGGAGAACCTAAAAATCTATTGAAAGTCTCTACTAATCTCCTCCACACTTGTACTACAGCTGTGCAATAATTTTCTGAACTCATGCTTGGGGAAGCATTTTGTGTAATAATTTCCTGGACAATGCTTGTGGAAGCATTTTGTGGCCATATTATGCAGTCCAGCAGTTACAAGTCTTGAGTCGTCATTTACTTGTAAATGACAGATTATCTCTGTTTTCTCAGGCCTAAGTAATTCTATTAATATCATCACACTTTTGATGTTTCTGAAGTAATGCTCTCTGTCAGCATCTGCACATCCCACACAAAAAAAACCAAACAAACAAAAAAAAAAAAAAAAACCACTGTATGCTTTTCCCTTTTTTTTCATTGACATAATTGTTTTAAGTCCATTGATTTTTTTTTTTCTAATTCCCTGAAGGAAGAATTGTGTAGAGAAGGAATGAGATTATGAGAACTGTAGAAGGTCCAGCACCTCACCAGAGTCACTCCAGTCAGCATCCTGCAGATGAGTTTGGTAGCAGAAACGTAGGGCAGGAGCAGAAAGAATATCCACAGGGATACCTTTCCTCTCTTAAACTGTTTCAGCTTCTGATGGAGACTTGGAGATGTTGTTTTGGAAGATGCATTTGTCTGGTTGGGTTTGATAGCTGTAGTTAGGCTGTTCTTTCTCTGAGCCCATTCAATCCCCTTTCGAGCCAGTCTCTCCATCATGCTGATGATGGCTTGCTTTTTCCATAAACTCGCACTCATTAGCGTTGAATTCAGCTTCTTTTTCAGACCATTTAGAAACACGTTGACAAGCACAGATGCAGCACTGCTCCCCCGATGGCCTCTCCATGAGAAAGCAGTCCATTTATGCCTTCATTTGGTCTCTTATCTTTTGACAGTTAATTCAGGAGAGGACATCCACATTCATTCCATGACAGCTTAGTTACTGTAGAAGTCCTTGGAGATGTCTCATCAAAAAGTTTTGTTAACTGAACTACACTATTTTACTTGGGTCACAGTTATAGCTGTACTCATTGACTCCTCTGTGAAAATAATTTTCCTCAGAGAAAGCTGTTTTAATCCTTTCTCATGTACCTAATTTACCCATGTCTCTGTAAGTCTATTATATTTGTAAAACTTCATGCAATTTTCCTACTACAAACTGAATACCCATTTATAGCTTTCCTAGGACAAAAGCACAGTTCTGGATTATTTTTTTAGTGACTTTAAAAAATACTTTTTACTGTATCTTGTATTTTTAAATAAATTGTCTGAGAAAATAACATGTAGAAATTATAAGTTTGAATTTTTTTTAATATTAAAATATCTAATTCAGTAATGGGAAAGTTGCTGCACTTGGAGAATGGACATAGGGTAAGATTTTGAAAATTTAATGTATTGATATCTTTTGGTATGACTATCAGTGAGAGCCCTGCCTCTCCAGCATTCAGTTCCATCAATATTTACTGAGGGGAAAGTCAAATAGCTAAGAGAAGGGATATAAGGAAGAGAAGGAAATATCAGCTCTTTGGGTTTTATTCCTTAAGAACTTCACTCCTAATGTATCTTCTCTTCCTATACAGAAAATTCCCAAAGCTTTAGAAAATGGGGGTGGCTATCAGAAACAGGAAAAACATAGTGAGGGTTGTAGAAAGTGAAATAGGTTGTTGTGATGTCCTTGATATTTCAAATATTCCAGACTTTGGAAACTGTTCAGAAACCATGTCTAATGGGAAAGCAAACAGAAACTTGATTTCTTTTTCTTAATTCTGTGCTCTGAGTAAGGGACAAGGAGAGAAAGAGGAGTCCCAAGAGGGTGCCCCACTACCACTGAGGCCCGGTGCTGTGTGAGAGATCAGAGTCCTGAGCCATGCACACACTGATGGTTTGCAGGGTCACTGCTCTCCGGGCATGGGGCGACTCCAAGGCAAACATTTCATTTTCATGATTTGCATTGTAAACTGTAAAAGAGCAAAACAGTTTTAGGTGAGGGCAATTTGATCTTCAATATTGCTCTGCTTCAGAATTGCTTTTAGTCTTTTTTGTCCCTCTCATTCTCCTCTCTCCAACTGCTGCTGTTTTTTCCCTCAGCCACAGCCTGAGTATCTCATTTTGACCATTCTCTGAAACTAAAATGCAAGGCCTTGCTATCCTGCTCCTGTTCAACTCCCTCCCTGTTTTTTTTTCCTCCAACCTATACAAATAATTGATGCTCCATCCATGTATTCCTTCAAGTCAATCTCAGTGCCCTGCAATCTCTCCACTCGTAAATGCCACAAATGGCTCCTCTTCATTTACTGCCTTTTTGCTGCTTTTAACCCTCAAGGACTCTCTGGTCTCTTCTTCCCTCTTACTCTCTGCTGTAATTGCATTTTTCTAGTCTATCAGTTATGCCACTTTCAATGAAGTGTTAGTTTGCTATACTAACAAACACCAACTGCTTCTTTCCTATGTCCCTTATAAAACCACTCAGAAGACACACACAGCAATCCCTGAAAAGCGCATTAATCATAAAGTAGGAAGCTTGGAATAGTCAATAATAGTTGGAGTTTAAAAATACTCATTGAATTATTCATTATAATGATAGAGTCAGGGGGAATGTGGGTGGCAAAAGACAAACAGTTGAGAATAAAGACAGAGACTGATTTAACAGGGTGTGAATGAGGTAATGAATGTCAGATTTGACCTCCTTTCCCTAGCACTCATGCTGTCATATATCAGCTCTCTGTACTCTACCTAACTCTGGTCTGTGCACTGTTCATTCCTGTCTCCACATTCCCTGCAGTCCACGCAGAATGCAGACTTTGGTGATCTGCGTGCACAAAACCAGGTTTGGAGCTATCAGGAAAACATTTATTGTGGTTGGAAGCTGTAGTTTGAAAATTCCTCATACAAATACATGTTGTTCAGGTTGTGTCATGGTGGCAAACTCTATTCTGTCAGTTCAATTTTTGATCAGCTGAAAGTACTGTGGAGAAGAGAAAAACATGAAGAATTGCAAGAGGTTTTCATCTGCAATTGTAACCATGAGAAAGGAAATCTGGATGGAGACTGGTCCAAGAGTTGTTATGTCTAATGGGCTCTGGGGCAAGCCTTCAGATGTTCACTGTGGTTGCATTGGTTCCTTTTCTTAGAGCTTAAATTGTTAAGAAATTGAATCCCACAGATCATCATTTAGGACTCCATTCAGTCTTGAGGGACTTGGACCTTCAGAGACTTTAAACACAGGCAGCACAACTCCCAAAAGATTGCCACACAAAAAGAACATTCTTTTAAATCTGCAAGGACTTTTTTCCTTAGAGTAGGCAACAGTGATAAAATCAATATTAATTTTGCATTGCTCAATTCCATTCTCAGGAGAAATGTCCCAGTGCATTCCAGCGTGAAGCCATTTTCATTTTATCATGTTTTAATATCTGTCAGAAAGTTGTAAAAAAAAAAAAAAAAAACCACATTTCTTTTGTAGTTATGAAGAGAGTTAATAACTCACAGCAACTTAACAGAGACTATTCCACCTAGCATATTAAATGAAATAAGATGAGGCATTCTAACCATCTCAGGATTTTCCTGGATTTACTGGTCTCTAAGAGAAGATGCTTAAACAATTCCTAAAAATAGTGGAACAGGAACATTTCTGAATCTGTGTATAGAAACTTCAAATAATTGCATCCTGATCCCACAATAAGATGAGATCTGCCCTGCCCCTCTTCTCCCTCTGAGTTTTGCAAAAAGATACTTGGCTACATGGGCCAGACAGCAGCACTGCTCTCAGCCCATTTAACCAGTGCAGAGCAGCTCTGGCTCGAGTCTCCCCCTCCTCCCCAGCGCTGCTCATGAAGAAAGGAGCATCTGCCCTGATTTCTCCTGGCCACTGACAAACACACCCTGGAGCAGTGCAGCGTCTGCTCCACACTCCTTCACTGACTGTCTCACTGGGAAACGGGGCTGACTCAGCAGCAAACTTTATAATTAGGATTATTATGGCTGGGAGTTACTGAGTCTGGCAAAGCCCTAGTAAAATAACTCACAGCTGTGCTGCTCCTGTATATCTGGTATTAAATGAAAAGGGGTTGATTTACCCTTTTTAATTGAATGCCAACCTTCCACAGTAAATACTGTAAACACCTGTATTAACAATTTTCTCTTGCATAAACTGGCAACAGAACTTTGACGAATGTTAGACAGGCCAGAGATTAATACAGTCCAAGCCTGGAAGTAAAATGGGTATTTCAAGGTGATTTTTCAAAGATCGCTGGTTTTATTTCACTCCCACACCCTGCCATACCACAATGAAGTTACTGAAGACACTCAGAGCCAAGAAAGAGACATTATTTTATTTAAAGAAAAAAGTATCTATAGTTCCCCTCTTGCAACATTATCCCTAGTCTCAGGTATGGCTGCTAATAATAAACTCTGCAAAGCAAGTATCAGGGTTTGAAAGAGAAATTACAAGAAAAGGAATGAAAGGAATGCAGCCTTCAATGGTTACTTGCTCCCCAAGTGATTTGTATTTGTTTTCAGTCCAGAGAACAGTCAGTAAAATCCAGTAAAGTCACCAAAAACATTGTAACCCCTCTGTCTAGTTTCCATGGAGAATATTAAAGTTTAGCTTTGGGGCTTTTTCAGCTTCCTAGTACTAGATGTTTTCATCACCGTCTTCTCTTTTTGAGGCTGGAATTTTTTTTCTTTTTTTTTTGTTTTTCTAGATGACCTTTAATTTCTAAGCAATTCCCTGAATAACAGTCATAATTATTGCAAAACCCTGGCTCCTCATTTGACAGGTAGTACAAAACAAAGCTGGACACGTGCAGATCAGCACATTGACCAGCACACTGAACACTGTTGAAACTTTAATCTCAGCAACTCTCAAAAGCTTTAGCTAATATACAGTTGCTACGTGACCACAGTTTTCAGACATCCTGCAGCAAATCCACAGCCTATAGACACATCTGTTAAATAAAATGCAGCCACCTACTTTCACAGCTAAAAAATGCCTGCAAATGTCCAATTTCTTTTAAAGGGATTTTAGAAGAGGTGGAAACATGTATTTTAGGATAAAAATCTAGTTTCTCTGAGAGGGAATAAAGAATAAAATTTCCCTTGGGCAAGGTACTCTCTAATGTGCCAGCATCTTGCAAGTTTACATGGTTATGGTCCAGTTCTGGATGCTTTGGGGAGAAAAATCGATCCTGCTGCTCTGGCTGCTCTAACCTCAGGGTACAGAGGAAGGGAAGGAATTATTGACAATGTGGGGAGAATAGAAACCCTCCAGCTCTTGCCGCTGGGCACCTTGAGGAGAGTGGGATGGGAAGGATTCTCTGTCCCTTGTGTTCTCCAGGAACAGACTCCTGACATTCTCCAGATTACTGCAAACTTTTCACATGTGAAAGTGGGGCAGCATTTTTTACCTCTCCATCTGTCAAAGTCTGTTGTGGAAGCTGAAACAGAAAGCTTTTCCCTTTCAGCTTCCCGGAGGAATCCCCAGGGAGTCGGCCCCATCCTCCCGGCCTCAGCCCTGGGCTCTGTCTTGGCACTCAGAAGGGGCTTTCACAGTCCAAGGTCATCGCCATGGTGTCTCCTCCCTCACAGCTAACCACGGTCTTACTTAAAGAGGTAATATTCATGTTTCTAATCCCCGAGGCTCCTGGCATCCAGAGAAATACTCTCTGTGGGAAGGGCTCTGACTTGAGCAGGGTACAACCCTACAGATTCCACCCCAGCTGTGCCAGGGACCTCTGTGCCAGCCTGTGCTGGGTACCAGGGAGCACCACAGCAAAGAGCACCTACACTTCAGATCTGTTTGATCCCAGCAGGAAAAACTCACTGGACAAGAGAGAGGGAGGGGAAACCATAATGTAAACACTGTCATTCTGTCTCCTCTCACTCTTACTCTATTCTAGCCTGATCATCTTTCAGGATGTTGCATTATAAAACAAAATACCTGGAAATTCAGCGTGAAACACATCTCATTTCTGGTGTACGTGATCACTAGCACAGCCCCCGAGCTTGTTGCTGAAATAGAAATTTTCTGTCATAGACCTCCTGGTCTGTTTTACACACTTCTTTTTTTTTTCCCCTAAAGAACCATACCGCCATGTTTTAGGTTTGAATTGTCCCCCACAAGAATACCACAGTTTTCACACTGTGAAGAGACACATAATTGGACTACTCTTAGGCTTAATCTAGAGATTAAAAAAAAAAAAAAAAAAGAAAAAAAAAAAGGAATAAGGAATATATCAAAGAGAACAACCTTGAATTTTCTGAATTTACCACAATACCAAAATGTCTGTCATTCAAGGTCCGACTGAGTTCACACACTGCAATTCACAGAACTACAGTCATTATGGGAAAGAATTCAAGAATTCCTGCTCTGCTCCTGCTCTAGTGTGAAGTGGCACATTGCCATCCCTATGAGCTCCCAAGGACACATTGCAGACAACCACTCTGGGGGGTTTATTAGACTTCTGATCTGAAATACAATGACAGTGATTAATTTACAGCTATTTGATGTTGTGGGTTTTTTTTTAATAATTTGAAAAATTTCTCTGCTTGTAGCTCACACAGGATTAAATGCTGTTTCCAATTCCTGTTGTAATTCTTACCAAGTGTTGACATCAAATTTGAACTATTTAAAATAGAAACTCCAATATGTGGCTCCCCCAAAATGCTGCATTAAGATTTTTCTTCAAACTTTTACAGTTTCTGTTTGTCTTAAAATTCAGTAAGATCATTTGTAATGCATAAATCATAAACTAATCATAAACATGATTAGTTTAGCTCCACTAAGAGAAATTGCAATTTAGGAGGACGCAGACAAATACAGAGAAGGAATTTTTTAATTTTTTATTCTTTATCAAAATACATGTTTCTAAGATGTTGGGTGGTTTTGCTTTTTGTCTTTTTTTTTAATGGGATTGAGTCATGATTTTTAAAACTCCAAATTCAAGAGGAAATTCAGGTT